CTTGGGTGACCGGCAGCCCCGCAGCCATTTGGAGCACTCGGAGGGATGGAGCCTCTGGAAGGGGGCTCGGGGGGCGGGGAGCAGGCATTTCGAGCAGACAGAGGAGGGGGAGCCTGAGTGCCTCCCCTCATCCCGCACGTCTTTAGCAGCCATCGGTTTGAGTGACGTTAACCAGAGCATGGTTTGGAAGCATCCGTGAAGTTCAGCCGGTCCCTCCCTCTCCTCTGCTTTATTAAAAACCAGTGGGGCCAGTGATGGATGCTGGGGGGTCCCGGGGGGGGGGCGGGTCTGAGCCATCAGGGACCAGCACCCCCAGGGTGAGCGCAGAGGGTGCTCAGTCAAGCCCAAGCCCCAGGTCCCCATCCGGAAAAGCCAGATGGAGAATTGGGGGCTGCGGCTGGTGGTGAGAGCGGAGAGGAATTCCTCTCGTGCTTGTGGGCGAAGGTAGTGCTCTGCTCCCACCGTCTGGTTTGTGTTCGGGGCACGGCGCAGCACCCCCGCGTCCCTCCCTCGGGTGCAGGGAATGAGCAGGAGTTGCTCCCAGAGGCATTATTCACGGTGCCTGGAAATACCCACAGGTTTCATCCGCGTTAACCCCTCCAGGGTGGGTGGAGAATTGATTTTTTTCCCAGGAAAAGGGACAGGATGCCATGGGAGCAAGAGGGACCTTTCCATATCTCCTCTTCCCCAAGCCTGCTGAGGTCTGTCCAGCCCGTGGCTGTCAGTCTGTCCACCTCCCGTTGCTCTGGGCAGTGTCTGTCCATCCATCCAGATGTATTAAGACCCAGAGGTGGAAGTCAGAAGTGGTTTGGTTTTGTGGAAGAGAGTTTTCCGTCATTTTTAAGCCTGAGTCAAGGCTGAGCTCGCCTTTCCCTCATCCAAAGTTCTTTAATTCAAAGCAATGGGATTTGGGGGTTCTGCTCGAGCTATTTGATGGGGAGAGGGGACGAGAGGCATCTCCTCCTCCCCGCGTCCGGCAGGCAGCACCCCAGGGGCCCCCCAGCCCAGCGCTGGGTTTTGGGATGGGAGAAAGGGGACTTTGCTGCAAAGGCCACATATTTCCCTGGTTCCCATAGCAACCAGCCCATTAAGGAGATGTAGATTAAACCTCCCCAGCTGGTGTGTGTTCATCAGCCCCCTCCTCCTCTTTCTCCTCCTCCTCCTCTGGATGGGAGCTGGAAGGTTTTTGGAGCAGGGGGTTGTGATTTCGGCAGAAATCCAGCATGGGAGGGGCCAGTGGAGGTGATGTTGGGAATGTGAAGGGTGAAGCCAACGGAGGGGTGGGACTCTCCTGGGTGAAGCCAATGGAGGTGTGGGACCCCCCCCAACCTCACCCCCAAGGTCAGGCCAAGATCCTTCTCCCAGCAAGGAGCTCCCAGGGGTCTGCTCCAGGCTTTGGGCAGGTTTGGTGTCTCCAGGGTGTGTTGAGCCAGGTCTAAGCAGCCACATGTTGGAGGAGCAGCATCAGAAAGTTGACGCTAGCCTGTTACGGCTCATGTTATATGATGTTTGTAGTATTAGTCCTATAGCGGAGCCTATAGAGCGGTGGTTGCCCCAGCATCCTCATCAGATCCTCTATGTATGTGTTGAGGTGGCCTTCAAGGTCTACGTTGAGGTGGGACAGTTCATGACACGTACCAACCCTTCCCACCCATCGATGGGGTGGTCCACCTGTACCTGCACCCCAGGACGTGGCTGCCTCTGCTTCTGGGCGTGGGGCTCATCCTCCCCCCCGTGACCATCAACCTCTGGTGGTGTGCCCGAGGCTCTGGTCTCACCCCTCCTGCCTCTCCTGCAGCCCGATGCTCACGTACCGCGTGGATGCCGACAAGGGCTTCAACTTCTCCGTGGGGGATGACGCCTTTGTGTGCCAAAAGAAGAACCACTTCCAGGTCACGGTCTACATCGGCATGCTTGGAGATCCCAAGTATGTGAAGACCCCCGAGGGCCTGAAACCCTTAGAGTGCTTCTACCTGAAGCTGCACGGAGTGAAGGCAAGCGGGAGTGGAGGGCCAGGGGTGAATCCGGTGGGGAGAAGGGGTGGCTGGCAGACAGTGAGGATCAGGCAACGCCACGTCTTCATGTCCCAAGTTTTAGGGGAGTGCTGAAGGCCAGAAAAAGGCAGATCTTGAAATATGAGTCCTAAGATGGACTCGAAATAAGATCTCAAAATACAAGTCCAAAGATGGACTTGAAATAAGATCTTGAAATAAGAGTCCTAAGATGGAACTAAGACTACTTGGGCATCTTCAGGGTTGCCTCTCCCTCACCTTTGCCTCTGGAGATATATGGACACTTTGTGAAGATCCTTTCACCCCCAGCTGTCCCCCTGTGAAGGGAGGCACCCATGCTTGGACAATGACCGTGCTCAAGTTGGGTGTTGGCATGTTCTGAGTCCTAGGAGGTCTGGGATAGGGGGAAGGTGGTGGGAAGGGGAAGGTCTCAGCTTTGCTGCTCTTTGTCACACGTTCCGAATCTTTCTCTCCAGCTAGAGGCCTTGAACCAGTCGATCAACATAGAGCAGTCGCAGTCCGACCGCAGCAAACGGCCCTTCAACCCCGTCACGTGAGTGTTGCCTGGGGACCGTCGCATGGGGGAGTCGCTGCCGGAGAATGAGCAATAGCGGGAGAGGGTGGGGAGGGGGGCTGAGTTGGAGGTCTCAGGAGAGTCCTGTGGGTATCCCACTCTCCAGTTTTCTCCTCTGTTTCCCACAACAGAGTTTTCCTCTCAGTCCATTCCCTGCTCTGCTCTCTGCCCAGTTTCCTGCCTTGGTGGAGCAGACCAGGAGATGGCTGTTCCCCGAAGAACCTCCTCTCTGGCATCATCCTCACTCATTCATCTCTTTTCCCATCCCCAGGGTCAACCTGCCTCCAGAGCAGGTCACCAAGGTCACTGTGGGGCGGCTGCACTTCAGCGAGACCACGGCCAACAACATGCGAAAGAAAGGCAAACCCAACCCTGACCAGAGGTGAGGAGCACCACCGCCTTCTCCAAGCCCTTCCGGGTACTTGGGACCTGAGGATGTGCCCGTCCCTGGGTCAGGAGGGTGGCTGGAGGGAAGGGGACATGGGGGACAGGTCCTGAATTGGCCATCCTGGTCTGTGTGGAGGAAGGAGGCATCTGCTGTGGCCACAAGAAGGGTGTCCCCTACTCTGGGAGGAGTTGGGGATGGTGGCTGTGCCCCACAGCATGGGGAGAGAGGATGTGCCAACCCTCCCTGACCTCTGTCCCTTCTCGGCAGGTATTTCATGCTGGTGGTGGCTTTGCAGGCGCACGCGCAGAACCAGAACTACACGCTGGCCGCCCACATCTCTGAGCGCATCATCGTCAGAGTGAGTCCCTCTCCCCTTCCTCCGCCTCTGGGTGATCCTAGGCAATCCTCCTTCCTTCCTCCCTCTGGCTTTTCAGGGCTTTCCCCACCCAGCCCTCTCCCCCTGTTGTGGTTTTGATCCTGGCTGGGAGCCAGACACCACGCAGCCGCTCGCTCACCCTCCTCCTTGCTGGGGATGGGGGAGAGAATTAAAGGGGTGAAGGGAAAAGAGACTTGTGGGTTGAGATGAGAACAATTTAATAACTAAACTGCAATAATACTGGAAATAATGATGATAATAATAGTGATATATACAAATACACAAATGAGTGACACACAGTGACACTGCTCACCACCCTGTGACCAAGGCTCAGCTTGCTCCCGGCTAACGATCCCGGAGTAAGGAGAGTCCCAAAACCACAATTCTGGAACAGAGATTAGAGCCTGAGCATTCAAGAGACTGAGACGACCCTGGAATAGGGGTGACCCAGAGGGAGATGACCCAGAGCAAGAGAGAGAACTTCTGGACAGATCCTCACCTCTCCCCTGGCCATGCCGGGCATGGGATGGAATAGACCATTGGCCAGTTTGGGTCTCAATCCTAAATCCAAGGTCAAATCCTGGGCTGGTCACTGGGGCTGTGCCCCCTCCCAGCTCCTCCTGCCCCTGCAGACACGGGCACAGCAGAGAAGCTGGAACGTCCTTGACTGTCCTGGCAGCAGCTCCACCCATCAGTGTGTGATCAGCTTCTCCCCCTGGTTTTGCTGCTGCTGCCTTTCAGTCCCTGCTTTCCCCTCTCTCCCCAGGCTTCAAACCCCGGCCAGTTTGAGAGCGACAGCGACGTGCTCTGGCAGCGGGCACAGCTCCCTGACACCGTTTTCCACCACGGCCGCGTCGGCATCAACACCGACCGCCCCGATGAAGCCCTCGTGGTCCATGGCAACGTGAAGGTCATGGGGTCGCTGATGCACCCGTCGGATGTGCGGGTGAAGGAAGACATCCAGGAGGTAAGAGCCAGAAAAACCAGGCTGGGTTTGCAGCGATCAGGGGTCTGAAGAGGCGCCACAGAAGGTGCAAGTGTCCTCCTGTGATGGAATCACAGAATCCCAGGATGGTTTGGGGTGGAAGGGACCTTAAAGCCCATCCAGTGCCACCCCCTGCCATGGGCAGGGACACCTCCCACTAGCCCAGGTAGCTCAAACATCCAGCCTGGCCTTGAACCCCTCCAGGGATGGGGCATCCACAGCTTCTCTGGGCACCCTGGGCCACTGCCTCACCCCCCGCACAGTGAAAAATTTCCTTCTAATATCTCATCCCAATCTGCCTTCTTTCAGCTTAAAACTGTTCCCCCTTGTCTTATCCTTCCACCCCTGATCCAGAGCCCCCCATCTCTCCTGTAGCCCCCTTTCAGCCCTGGAAGCTGCTCTGAGGTCTCCCTGGAGCCTTCTCTTCTCCAGGCTGCACACGCCCAGCTCTCAGCCTGTCCTTGGCCGGGAGATGCTCCAGCCTCTGCCCATCTCTGTGGCCCCCTCTGGCCCCGCTCTGACCGGTCCCTTTCGTCCCAGGTGGACACCACGGAGCAGCTGAAGAGGATCTCCCGGATGCGGCTGGTGCATTACAACTACAAGCCGGAGTTTGCGGCCACGGTGGGCATCGACAGCACCCCGGAGACAGGTACGGGCTCTGCATCACCCCACGCATGCCTCTGCAGTGCTGGATCTCACCTTCTGCAACCCACAGCGGCGTTTCGGTCGTGGTGCCGGCGGCTGTACCCCGGCGTGGGGCAGGAGAGGGGCTTCTCACCCCCTGAAGTTCAGGCAGCTAACGGAATTCCCTCTTTAGGGAACGGGAGAGAAGGTGGCATGTCCCGCAGGTGGCTTGTAGGGCATCTGTGATGAGGGTTCTCCAGGTCCCCCCCCCCTCTGGGGGTACAGCTACACCCTGCGTCGGGGTGATGCAAACGTCCCCATCCATGGGACCTGGGACCAGCCCTGTCTGAGCAGCCCCTGCTCTCCTGCTGAGCCTGGGGGGCTGCCCAGCCCACGGGAACTCCAGCCCTGCCTGACCCCTGGTATCATCCCCAGGGTCCCTGCCAACCTCATGGACTGGAGAAGGAGCCGTGGCAGGAGGGAACACCCTGACCCATGCGCTGTTTCCACGCAGGTGTCATTGCTCAGGAGGTAAAGGAGATCCTCCCTGAAGCTGTGAAGGACACGGGGGACTTGGTTTTTTCCAACGGGAAGACCCTGGAGAACTTCCTGGTGGTGAACAAGGTCAGTGGGAGCACGAAGAAGCAGGAGGGGAGGGTGGGGAGGACGTTGGACCTGGCGCAGGGGAGTGGTGGAGCTGGAAATGGAAAAGGGGAAAAACCGTGATGCCTGGGAAATGCTTCTAAGCCAACTCCACCCACACAAGTTGCAGACCTGGCTGGTGTTTTCGGGAGCAGCCCTGGGGGGACAGCAGACAGCAGCAGGGAGGAACCAGCCTGGTGCTGGTGAAAGTTGGCAGCATCTCCGGCAGGAAGGGCTCCTTGCTGGCAGCTTCCCGCAGGGAGGCTCTTAGTCATCGTCTCTCCTTTCTGGATAAGATAAGGTGCTCGTGTCGAGATAACCCAGAGCACCTGGCTGCCTGACCTCTCCGTAACC